CCGCCGTGGCCCTGAACCCTGCAGATGGCCCCAGGGGGGGAGGCCTGGGGACAGGCGGCCTCTGGACTGACCAGCTCAGCACTTTCCACTTGGCAGGAAGTCAGCCCCGCTCCTTCCCTCATCCAATGAGAAAGGAAAACCGATGAGGATGACGGGGTATTTGTGTTGCTTTTGTCCTGTGGAAGGACGGCTGGGCTCTGTGCTGCGTCTGACCTAATTGTATCACCGTGGGCGGAGGCCTCTAGTGCCCGCTCGCCGGTCTGATCACCGTTGCAGGCTCGGGGGTGGGGGAGGCACTCCGCCGCCCAGACTCCGTGGGCTCGGAGAGAACTCATGGGATGAGGGGTCAGGATTTGGGCTGGCTTTATTTCTTTAGCTCCCTTTGTGCTACAAGCAGAGGAGACGCTGGGAAAAGGCGGGCAGCCTTCGGCTCTCCTGAGATGCACAGCAGATCTGCCAGGCTGCACGGCGGAGGATCCGCCCCCTGCCAGGGCCACGCCAGCCTGGGGTGTGCCTGGGAGAGCCCATCCTGGGGAGCCTCAGTGCAGGGAGGTGGCGGGAGTGACGGTGCTGGTGGTGAGGGGCTCTTCTCGGGGAGACACATTTAGAGGTGCTGTGTGTCCTGCTGGCCCTGTAGAGGGTCTCTGTGTGTGTGTTGTCCCTGGAGCTGGCTCAGGTTTCACAAGTGCTCTGACCTTTCACGGTTTGGTGGAACTGGGCGGGTGTGGCAGGGACATCTGCGTCAGGGAAGACGTGGTTTCCTGTTCTTGATGCCAGGAGAGGGCAAAGGGCCTACCCTGGTGCACATGGTGGGGAGGAGGCATCTGGGTGGCCTTCACCTTCAGACGGTCCTGGATCAGGGAGGTGTTGGGGTGTGGGTGCTGAGGGTGCAGAGGGACAGAAGCCTTAGCCCCTCCTCTGCTGCCATGTGCCCTGCGCTGGGATCCTACGTATTTGTCAAGCCAGCGAAGCCAGCACTCAGCCAGCCTAAGTATTATCAGAACCTGTGCCGACCTCTGTCCGCTCCTGGTCCACCCATCTGTGTTTTGCCTGAATGGGGCAGGCCATTTGTAGCCAGCGAAGCCAGCACTCAGCCAGCCTAAGTATTATCAGAACCTGTGCCGACCTCTGTCCGCTCCTGGTCCACCCATCTGTGTTTTGCCTGAATGGGGCCCCAGGCCATTTGACTCAGCTTCTCCCGTGTTCGGCAGTTGTACCAGGATCTTGGGCTTGGTCTTGTGTCCCCAGGTCTGTGAGGTGGCTGCGACAGGAAAGGGAGCCTCTGGGTCACCCTGAACACCTCTGCATCCTCCTTGGAAAGGAGATTCTGGGATGGTGGGGGTGTTGCCTTGCCTGTGGGCTATGAGCTGATGCTCCAGGGTCTGTCACTGGCCCCACTGCAGCCTTAGTGAGTTCCTTGTTCTGGTGCTGTGGCCACAGAGTGGCTGGCAGGACAGAACTAAGTGTGGCTTTTCCTTTAGAAGCTTCTGTTTCCAGAAGGGCTCAGCTTGACACCCTGAGACCGGAAAGGTCAGCAGTCAGAACTAAGGCCACCCAGACCATGGCTGTCACCTGCCTGAGCCTGTCAAGGACCAGTCTGGCCTGGGTGCAGACACCAGCCCTACGCGCCAGGAAGACGATGGAACCACATGGGACACGCTCCCCCCACGGCTGTGATGGGATGGCCGTCCGCCTGTCAGCATCGTCACGCACATGGTGCTGTCCGCGGCTGCTTCCCATCTTTTCTGTGGTCCTGGGAGTGGCCATGTGTCTGAGGCCCTGCTTTGACCAGCTGTCCACACTGCCCAGGTCCTCCCTGAGGCCTCCTCTGTCGTGAGCATCTGTCACCTTTAGCTCTGAAGGAAGGTGGCCCGTGTGAGCCAGTGACTTGGGAGTTGCTCCCTGGGAAGCAGGTTGGCCATTGTCACCGTAAATGGCAGCTCTTCGCAGCTGGTGTGGGAGGGAAGGCTCTGCACTGGTGTGGAGGGGCCTGGCCGAGCCCCAGAGCCCCTCAGTGGTGTACGGTTCTCCTGGGACACAGCCCCCTCGGTCCTTTACTCCTGTCCCTTCTTTATCACGGGTGTCCAGGATGTGCCTGGCACACCAGGCCGCCCGGGGTCACGATTGGCCCTGGAGGTGCTTAGACAGCTCTACCTCTCTGGGCATCTGAGTTGGCCTCTGACTTGCTCCAGCTGCTGCCCGGCCCCCAGGTGGAAAGAACAGAGCGGGCAGCTGTGGAGCTGAGCATCATTCCCACCTGCTCAGGTCAGATTTTGTCACAGGTGTGGGCTGAGGCCGCCCCCACCAAGGGCTGGTACACAGAGGGCCCAACTGCCGGACAGGCCAGTGGAAATGAGCCCTTCCTGTGCGCCAGAGGCCCTGACCATCTCCCTGCCGGTACCAGGCCTGGCTGTGGTGGGCTCTCGAGGGTCAGGGCTGGCAGGGTTCTATAGGTTCCTGCAAGCCTGGTGGGGTGTCCATGTAACCCCTCAGATACCCGGAGCTGTATCCACCCCGTGTGCAGCTCTCACTTGCTGCCCAGGGCACAGAGGGCAAAATGGAGTCCCCCACGGTGTCCCAGCAGGTCCCATGGCGGGTGCCTTCTGCACGGAGTGGTCCCAGCCTGCCTGAGCCACTGAGACTTGAGAGGCAGCATGGCAGCCTGGCCAGGGAGGGTGTGGGTGGAGGGACCGAGGGTCACAGCCCCTTTCCAGAGCGTGGCCAGCCAGTGTTGGCAGGCGGCCCAGCTGGGGCGGGACCTCGAGTGGGAGTGGGAGGCACAGCCCTCACGTCCACACCCGCTGTGTCCTCGAGCTCTCCGGGTCGGTCTTCTCCTGCTGCTGTGGTGGGCAGCCGTCCCCTCGGTGGGCGCAGCGTCGTGGACTGTGCCTGTTCCCTGCTGCGTGGGCAGCCGAGAAAATCCCTGGGTTATTTCAGTCCTTCAAAGGGAAAAGGAGACCATGTGGAATTCAAGGGGAATTTGTCCTGACACCTGTGTTCGGCATCTCCGGTTCCAACCACCATCACGCCCAGCCACGGGGTTGGTGTCAGACGCTGTTTCCAGACCCAGTGGGGACAGAATCACACGGGGAAGGTCTGGGTCCCTGGGCTGGGAGGTGGCCAAGCCTTCTGCCCTAGTGAGAAGTCATTGGTCCTTGGAGGCTGCTCCTCCTGCAGCTTTGCGTCCAGCAGTGAGCCCGTCCACACCCTCGGTGCCATGCCTGGTATGGTATGGGGGACAAGGTCACTGAGCTGCCAGTCCCTGACCCCACAGGCATCTGCCCCCGACGAGGCCAAAAGCTGGCCTATCGGCTTTTGGGGCTGACCTGGGTCTTTGAGGCCTCTTAGGCCGCCCTGGATGTTTGACCCCAGTGCCTTCATTTCTAGGAGCTGCTCCCTGAGTGTAGCTTTTGCTTGAGCCCTGCCCCCTGGCACGGCCATTCTCTCTGTCAGAGAGTGGCAGAGCTGGGCCGAGGCACCTGCTTTGGGCTGCCAGGCTGTGCACAGGTCCTTGCTTCACTCCTGCCTGCTGGCCACAAAGAGAAGAAGCAGAGGTGCTGGAATGTAGGGATGGGCTCACTCCCTACCCTACAGACATCCACTCTTCCCTCCCTCCTGCCTGGGAGCTGGCTGGACACCATATGAGGCTGTGGCTGGGTGACTGGTGGCCTTGCCGGGCCCTCTCCCCACCAACCTCTGGGCTCCTGGTTGTTCCCCTGTGGGGCAGCGGGTGGGCAGTGTCACAGGCTTTGTGCACAGCCCCTGTGAGGCCTGGGCAGTAGAGAGGGAAAACATAGGTTCCCGAGGCAGGGTCCTGGCTGAGCCTGGGGAGCCTCTGCATGGAACACCCAGCAGCTGTTGCTGGAGGGAGGCGTCCTGCCCCACGGCCGGGGATCAGGGTGGGGAAGTCTGTGAAGGAGGAGAGAGACAGGCAGGTGTGCTGGGGGCTGCTCTGTGTGTGGCCTGGTCACTGGCTGCGAAGGGAACAGGCTCCGTGTCACTGTGGGGGCTGTGTCGTCAACAAGCCCTGTTTCATCTCTGAGGACTTTGGTCTGTGCTTCAACTGCCTTGGCTCCTGGTGGCTCCCACCTGCTCCTGCCCACCTGCCCCCCCAGGCTTAATTCTAACGCCCCTCTCCACCCAGACACCCTGCCCCCTGGCGTTGTGGTTTTTTGTTTGTTTGTTTTGTTTTGGTACCAGGGATCGAACTCAGGACCTTGTGCTTGCAAAGCAGGCAGCAAAACCACTGAGCTAAATCCCCTGGCACTGTGTTTTAACACGTAATAATGGTACATGTTCTGTTACCATGTGTGTGCAGCGTATTTTATTAGTGTATGCTTACTATCTGTATTATTAGCAAATACTTGTGCTATGTACTATTGCTCGTGGATAACTGCACACTGGTGTTCAGTGTCACACCCGGGCATGTGCACATAGCCTGCGCTGACCCAATCAGGGATTCTGGCTGCGGGTTTTGAGCCAGTCGGCTCCTCTGTCGTGTTTTCCTAACACATGTACTGGGTCTTGCAGAGCGTCCTTGTCCCCCTGCAGTGCCTGGGGTTTCTGCCACCCACCAAGCTGTCTCTGTACTGCCATCTCCCATTTCCTCCAGGGCTTGACTCCATTCTCCCCTTCCCGGGGAGACCTTCTGGGGGCACCCCCAACCCTGGACCCTGGGTCACTCTCAGGTTCCTCCACAGCGGGGTGACACTCCCGGAACCAGCCTTGCAGGAGGTGTCCAGTTTGTGGGTGTCCTGCCCTGGTGTCCCGCAGACGGGAAGAGACGCTTGCGTTCTCCTTTGTGCCCAAATCTTCATCCTTGGCCCAGCCATGGAAGGGGCGCCCCAATTAGCAGTTCCTTTCACGGTGTACACCCCAGAGGAGGGGCCGAAGTGGCAGGGGACAGATGGGGATGGGAGTGCGTGTGGCATGGAGTGGAGCCCTCTCCCTCTCTGAGTCAGAGGGGACAGTGTCAGCGTCACTGGCTGTGTCTTCCGCAGAGGAGGAGCTCCGGAAGCTCCGGGAGGAAACAAACTCGGAGATGCTGAGGCAGGAGCTGGACCGGGAACGGCAGCGGCGGATGGAGCTGGAACAGAAGATGCAGGAGGTGCTGAAGGCCAGGTAAGGCACAGAGGCTGTTTGCAGTCCTTACTGTGCTGTTCCTGAGGCTGGGTACTTACAAGGGAGAAGGCTTTGTCCAGCTCGCAGCGCCTCCTGGTGCTGACCTCTGAATCTAGACCTAGCCGTGCAGAAAGAAAGTACAGCCAGGTGGCCCATCCAGCCTGGGTAGACGACCTCTGAGGGGGCGACCGCAAACCTGCATCAGACCCTTGACCTGGCTGCAACCCTCCCTCTGGTCACCACAGACCAGGACACCTTAGGCCCAACACAGAGACCTGGTCACATGCGGTGTCGAAGACTCATTGGTTAGAAGTGCGCGGTCCTCTTTCTGAGCAGTGGGAGTGACACGGTGTTGACGAGGCTCAGCTTGCAGGTGCCGCACGGGGTGAGATTGTCCCACACGTGGCTGCCGTGCCCCTCCCTTTAATCTAACACTGTGCTGGCCTAGCACTGTGCCAAGCCAGCCCATCCCTTGTGTCCCATGCATGGGGACAGCCCCTTACCATACATATTCTGTGCTCTTGTGCAGAAAGTAAAGTCCCTGTCCCCTGGGCTCCTGCTTCCTCCACTTAAGACAGCTGTCAGAGCAAAGCATTACAATTTAAGAGCCCATATGTCTGCTCAGGTCATTGTGCTGGGGACAGTCACCCAGCCAGTGACTGTGCACTATGATTAGAGCTGGACACACAGTGGCCGCTGCACCTGCTGCAGCCACGCGCGTCTGGCCCTCAGCCCTCATGATGCAGCCTGGCTTTGGCAGGAGCTGGCTTTCTAGTGCCCTTGGTGGAGTTGCTCTGGCTGGAACCCTCAGGCTCCTTAGGGAGTATTGTGGTCATCTGCCTAGGAGCAAGGGAGACCCCGCCAGGGCCCAGGGTCTCCTTGGTGCCCTGGACCTGAGTGCCTGTTCCCCAGCAAGTCCCCTTTGATCAGTTGCTCCAGGTATGGACAGTCACGTGCGGCCCCACTCTAGTCTTGAGGATGTGGACGTGGGCCTGGGCCCGGCCCCTCTTCCATGACTGGGGCTCCTGCCTGGGGACTCAGGCCCACCTGTGTCTTCCCCATTCACTGCTCCATGAGACTGCAGCCTACTCAGCCCCAGCCCTGCCCAGCTGCCTGGACAGGAGTCCGGGTCATTTTCCTGTCCTGTGCTGCTACGTGATGTGACAATTACAGGTCACGGCGACAGGTTCCAAGCCTCCAAGTTGTTCACTGCACAGGTGATGTGTGACTGTGTGATGTGGATGGAGCGGAAAGGGCCTTTCCTGTCACCTGGGTCCCAGGACCGGGAGCTCTTGGCTGTGGGAGGGGAGAGGGAAGCTCTGCAGGAGCGTGCAGCTGCTGTAGGACCCACGCCAGAGACACCACCCAAGGCCGGGGCCCAGGCAGCTGAAAGTGGGGTGATGGGATCCTGCAGGTGGACAGAGACTCTGCAGAGAGGGAGAGCCCGGAAAGGCTGTGAGACCATTACAGCTGTGATCAGGATGATGCTGTGCACTGAGGACAGGCAGTGGATGCTATGGTCCAGCAGGGACCCAGGGCTGCTTTGTGTAGTATTTGATAAACAGGTGTGTGAGGTGTGGTCACAAAACACAGTTAATGTTTAAATTTTTAAATATGCGTAACAGTAAAAGACATTGCTGTACAGCCCCACCCATGCAGGCCTCGACAGAGGAACAGCTGCGCAGGCACCTGCAGTTCACCCCACCCCACTGCATGTACCTCTGGCCTCCTGCCTGGGCTGGTACCGGGATTCCTGCCACAGAAGCACAGGGGGTCATAAAGGCCATTGTTTTGAGCTCTAGCCTCGAGTTTGATTTAATTCACACAGTTAAAGATGATAGATTAGTAACTACCACAAATTGTCGTTTTTCTAAGCTGTGCTTGATGTTGTTGTGTTGCTGATTGTATCACTTGGGCTAAGGGGTTTTATGATTGATTTAATCAGTTGTCCTTCCTGGTGTAATGAAAATGGGATTGCCTCAGATTCATGAGAGACTCAAAACCTAAAGACAAGCTATAACAGGAAGATTGAAGTATTAACTCGGGAATTAAATCAAGGACAGTGCCAACAGGAAAAATAGAAATGAGAAGACATTCAAGCAAGGCACAAGCACAAACAAAGGCTGCCCGTTCATCAAAGGCAAATTCTGGAGGAAATGATGTGGAAAAGTCTGATAATCAACCTCCCGGACAGCCTGAACTGATAGCACAGGAAGTAACAAAACAGATCAATGAGGCTCTAAAAAATTCAAAAGAGAAATAATTTCCGAGATATCTACAGAGATGGTGAGCTGAATGAAAGACACGATTAGAGACTCTAGAACAGAAGCAGATTTAAAAAAATACATGAGCTCAGGACCATGATAGAAGCCATGAATGCCCAACATAGAAAGAAATGGAAACCAAAATGCCATGGGATCTATGAAGCAGGTTCAAACAGATATCCAGGAGATTAAAAACTCTATTGAAAGTGTGCATAACAGACTGAGCCAGTCTGAAGACAGGATATCAGATATAGAAGACAGAATGGTGGTCAGCGACCCTGAAAGGAGGGAGTCTCTCTCTCTCTCTCTCTCTCTCTCTCTCTGTCTTTTTTTTTTTTTTGACACCAGGGATCAAACTCAGGTCCTTGTGCTTGCAAGGGAGGTGCCAGAACCACTGAGCTAAATCCCCAGCCCTGAAGGATCTCTTAAAAAAGTAACGAAACATGAGAAATCAATCCAACAGCTCTGAGATAATGTAAAGAAGAATAATATAAGACTGATAGCAGGCCATGAAAAAGCAGGAAAAAGTACAAGTGTTCACAGAATTAATGACCAAAAACTTCCCAAACAGAGCAAAAGAATTTGACATATATATATAAGTGAGGATTATAGGACTCCAAATAGCCATGATCACAAAAAATCTACACCTAGACATGTAATAATCAAGATCTCAGAAACTCAACAGAAGAACGAAATACTAAAAGCAATTAGTAAAAAGAAACAAGTCACGTCAGAATCAGAGCAGACTTTTCAACCCAAACCAAGTAAAGCAGAACCTGGAGTGAAGTATTTCAAGCCCTAAAAGAAAACAACCTCTAACCTAGGTTGATGTATCCTGCAAAATTCTCTTTCAAAATTGATGGGGAAATAAGATACTTCCATGACAAAAGAACACCCGAGAAACTTCATGAATACTAAACCAGCACTCCAAACAATTCTAAATAATATCCTAAAAAAAAAGACAGTGAAGATCACAACTCCATGAGGCTCAATAGAGCAGACCCAGCAGGCAAGGCAAGAAATTCGAGTGAAGGGAAAAACATTTTAAAAAGCCAACGACAGGAAAATAAAATGACGATGATACATCAGTACATATCAGTTACAAACATCAATGTCATTGGCCTCAATTCACCAATCAAAATAAATAGACTGGAAGAATAGATTAAGAAGCAAAATTCAACAATATGCTGTATATAAAAAATGCATCTAGTTCAAAAACTCATAGACTGAAAGTTAAAGGATGGAAAACAGTTCTCCATGTGACAGGAACCTTGGAAAAAGCAGGGTTAGCTATCTTATTTGCAGACAAAGTAAATTCCAAACCAAAACTAATTAAGAGAAATGAAGATCACTACATCCTTGTAAAGGGAATAATCTAAGAGGGAGAGATGACAATCATAAATATATAATGCCCCCAACTACACAAAACAAATATTAAGGGACATGAAAAACCAAATAAGCACTAATGAGCACTAATACAATTGTAATGGGGGATCTCAATACCCTACTGTCACAGATAGACAGATCATCTAAACAAAAAAAATCAACAATGAAATACTAGAACTAAACCAAGCTTTTGAACAAACAGACTTAATAGATGTCTATAGAGTGTTCCACCCCCACAAAATCAGGATATACATTCTTTTCGGCTGCACATGGGTCATTCTCCAAAATAGACTGCATACTAGCTCATAGAACATGTTTAAGTAAATGCAAAAGAGTTGAAGTTATTCCATGTATATTATCACCATAGTGCAATTAAACTAGAGGTCAATAGCAAAGGAAACTACAAGAACCTCACAAACACATGGAAATTGAATAGCACTCTCCTGAACAACCAATGGGTCACAGAGGAAATTAAAGAAGAAATTAGACAGTATTTACAACTTAATGATAAGGCCAATACAACATACAGCTGTGGGATACAATGAAAGCAGTTCTATGAGGGAAATTCATAGCAGTGAATGCTCACACTAGGAAAACAGAGCAAGGTCAAATAAACAACCTAATGCTGAATCTTAAGCTTCTAGAAAAAGAAGAGCAAACAAACCGAAAGCTCTTACAAGGGAGGAAATAATAAAGATCAGAGCAGAAGTCAATGCAATGGAGACTAAGAGAATGATACAAAAAAATGAATGGATAGAAGAGTTGATTTTTTGAAAGAATAAGTAAAATTGATAAACCTTTAGCCAACCTTATCAAAAAAAGAAAAAGAAAGAAAGAAAAGGCTCATATCCATGCAGTTAGGAATGAAAAAGGTGAAGTCACAGCAGATCCAGGAGAAATCCAGAGGATCATCAATACCTATTTCGAGAACCTGTAAAATGGAAAATACAGAAGAAATGGACATATTTCTAGATACATATGAATTACTGAAGTTGAATGAAGACATAAAAATTCTAAACACCTCAATTACAATTAATGAAATTGAAAATGTAATTAAAAATTTACCAACAAAGAAAAGCTCAGGTTCTGATGGCTTCACTGCTGAATTTTGCAAAACATTTAGTGAAGAACTACTTCCACTACTTTTGAAACTTTTCAGTGAAATTCAAAGCGAAGTGATACTTCTAAATTCATTCCTAGAAGCAAGTGTTACTTTGATTCCAAAACCAGGGAAAGACCCAACCAAGAAAAAGAACTACAGACCAATCTCACTAGTGAACATAGATGCAAAAATCCTCAATAAGATACTGGCTAACAGAATACAAGAAGATCATACACCCTGACCAAGTTGGATTTATCCCAGGGATGCAAGGACGGCTCAACATACATAAATCAATAAATGTAATACACACTATATTAACAGAGTCAGAAACATAAACCGTATGACCATTTCAATAGATGCAGGAAAACGCATTCGACAAAATTTAACACCCATTCATGATAACCCTGCTAGGGGCTGGAAATTTAGCTTAGTGGTTCTGCTGCCCGCCTCACAAGCATAAGGTCCAGAGTTCAATCCCCAGTACTGCCCCCCAAATTAAAATAAATAAAAACCCTGCTGAAAATAGATGGTCTTTATCTCAACTTGATAAAGGCTACCTATGAAAAACCAACAGCCAATTTCATACTAAATGGTCAAAAACTGAAAACCTTTATACTAAATCAGGAACAAGACAAGGATGTCCACTGTCACCACTTCCTGTTCAATATAGTTTTGGAAACATTAGCCACAGCAATTAGACAAGAAAAAGAAAAAAAAGCAATAAAGATAGGAAAGGAAGTTTAACAGTCATTATTTGCTGATGATATGATACTCTACATCGAAGACCCAGAAAACTCCACCAAAAGGCTTCTAGAGTTAATTGAAAGATTCAGTAGAGTAGCTGGATACAGGGTCAACACTCAAAAATCAATAGCCTTCTTGTACACAGATAACAGAATCACTGAGAGAGAAATTAAGCGAAACAATCCCTTTCACAGTAGCATCCAAAAAAAATGAAATATCTAGGAATCAATCTAATGAAGAAAGCAAAAAACATCTACATTAAGAACTACAGCACTCTGAAAAAAAGAGCTTAAGAGGATATAAGAAAATGGAAAAACATCCCTTGTTCCTGAATAGGAAGAACCAATATAGTGAAAGTAGCCATATTTCCAGAACTGCTATACAGATTCAGTGCAATTCTGATTTAAATCCCAATAGTATATTTCTCAGAACTAGAGAAAACAATCCAAAAATTCATTTGGAACCAGAAGAGACCTAGAATAGCAAAAGCAATGCTAGGCAGCAGAGACATGACGGGGGTATCACAATACCCAACTTGAAACTATACTACAAAGCCACTGTAGCCGGGAATTTAGCTCAGTGGTTCTGCTGCCTGCCTTGCAAGCGCAAGGACCAGAGTTCAATCCCGTACCAAAAATAAAAAAAAAAAAAAAAAAAAAAAAAAATCAAAGCCACTGTGATAAAAACAGCATGGTACTGGCAAAGAAAAAGATCTGAGGATCAGTGGAATCGATTAGAAGATGGAGAAACAACTCCAGACATACTCAGCTATCTCATCTTTGACAATGGAGCCGACCATCCTCATTGGAGAAAAGATGGCCTCTTTAATAAATGGTGCTGAAAAAACTGGATTTCAACTTGCCAGAGATGAAAACTGGACCCCTATCTTTCACCATGCACTAAACTAAAATCCAAGTGGATTAAAGATCTAAATATTAAAACAGAAACACTAAATTTACTGTGAGATAAGTTAGGCAGAACTCTTGAAGACATTGGCATATTAAAAGACTTTATGAAGAAATCTTCAGTAGCAAGGGAATAAGCACAAAGAATCAAAACTGCAATGTCATCTTTTTAAAAAGCTTCTGCACTGCAAGAGAAACCAATAGAGCTAAGAGACCACCTACAATGTGGGGAAACATTTTTTACCAGCTATTCCTCAGACAAAGGTCTACTATTTAGAATATATAAAGAGCTGGGTGTGGTGGCGCATGCCTGTAATCCCAGCACTTGGGAGGCTGAGGCAGGAGGGTCGCCATGAGTTCAAGACCAGCCTGGGCTACATAGTGAGTTCCAGGTCAGTCTCAACTACATAGTGAGACCCTGTCTTAAAAAACAAAAAACAAATCCCCCAAATTATATATATAAAACTAAAAAAAATCAGACCCCCCCAAATTTATAAACTCAGTTCAAAAATAGGCATCTGAAATGAACAGACATTTCTCAAATAAAGAAGTTAAAGTAGCAAATAAACATATGAAAAAATGTTCAACATCACTGGTCATTCAAGAGATGCAGATGAAAACACTGAAATACCACCTCAAGAATGGCTGCTATCATGAAATCAACCAATAACAAATTCTGGGAGGGGTTTGTGGGGAGAAAGGAACCCTTCTGCATTGTTGGTGGGAGTGCAGACTGGTGCAACCACTGTGGAAATCAATATGGAGATACCTCAAACAACCAGGATTAGAAGTGCCTTTTGACCCAGCTATTCCTCTGCTGGGTATCTTCCCCAAAGAATTCATAGAATCATACCACGGTGATATATACTCACCCATGTTTATAGCGGCACAGTTTGTAATAGCTAAAACTTGGAAACAGCCCAATTGCCCATCAACTGGAGACTGGCTAAAGAGGATGTGGTTTTGTTTTTAATAAAATGGAGTACTACTCAGCCATAAAGACGAGAAACCAGAGACATAGCTAAGCGGATGCACATTGAGGACTTACTCTTACGTGAAATTAATCGGACACACATGGAAATACCGAATAGTTTCTCTGGTGTGATGAACTAAAAGTGTAAATAAGAATCAAAATGTGTAATTGATATTGTGTCACAGGAGAAATGTCTAAAGGTATAGGGGAAGTGGGAGGGGTAGGGGAACTCTAAGAAGGGAAAAAAAGAGAAAAGGAAAAAATGGAAACAAAGTCTCTGCAAATAGGGAAGGGTGGAGGGGATGAAGGGAGGGCAGGGGGATGGGGAAAAATAGGAACCAAGGCACATCATGGAAAGGTACGAGATTCCAATGATGAGCGTAACTGCATTGTATACCTAAAATTGCCAATAAAGAAAAGAGGGAAAAAAAGACATTGCCATGACTCCCCCTGAAAACTTTCCCCTTGTTTTGAGCACACTCATCCTATCATCCTTGCCACTTTCTGCAACAGCTCTGGAGCCCTCTTTCTTGAGGGTCTAAACTTGCACTATTATGAGCGTACTTTCCCGCTGGATGGTGCTCGGCAGCAATAATCCCTGTAGTTTTAATCACACCTTGTAAATACACACCTTCTTTCTTTCCTTTCTCTTTCTTTCTTTCTTTCTTTCTTTCTTTCTTTCTTTCTTTCTTTCTTTCTTTCTTTCTTTCTTTCCTTCCTTCCTTCCTTCCTTCCTTCCTTCCTTCCTTCCTTCTTTCCTTCTTTCCTTCTTTCCTTCTTTCCTTCTTTCTTCTTTCTTTTCCTGACTCTGGGGATCGAACTCAGGACCTTGTGCTTGCCAGGCAGGCATGGTGCCACTGAGCTACATCCCTGGCCCTGCATACTTTTCTTGTTTAGCCGTTTTATGTTGGAGTGCAGTATCATTGCATTAGCAGAGCTGTTTATTCTGTGTTGAAATTAACAGGAAAGAAAGGAGTTGTGCATTTGTGCACTGTGTTTACTGATTACTGAGACACGGAACCTGTGCTGGCCACAGGTGTGGTTTCGTGCCTCCTGATCACTGTCGTCCCGGCCTGGGAGCATTCTGGATTCCCTGAGCCGGTGGATTTCACACGATTCCTGCACTTGGTTGCTGCACTGTGCATGGCAGTTTGCACTGACAGACGTCTTGCCTCTTCCCTCTTTCTAAGAGCCGAGGAGCAGACTGCACAGGTCCAGCAGCCGCCAAAGGGGCAGAGCCAGGCCGGCAATGGAGCAGGTAGGCCAGTGGGTGCAGTGGGCACCGCTTCTGTCCTGAGTCCCTCTTGCATCTGGGATCCTCTTTCCATTAGAACTGGCTCAGCATCTGTCCCTGCGAGCTGGTGGTCATTGCGGCCAACACAAATCGCTGGATGAGCCGATGACGCCTGCTCACAGGAGTGCGCGGGCCCTGCTCTCTGAGCCTGCCATCCTAGTGAGGGAGTGTGTGGGCAGAGGGCCGTGGTGTGCTGGTCCCCAGATCCCACGGAGGGGACACAGCTCTTTCCTCTCCCCCTGCTCCCATCCCACCCTGCTCTGCACCCTTCCTACTCTAAACCCTACACGGCTGTCCCTCAGAAGATGGGGTGTCCACCACCCCTCACCGCATGCCGACCCTTCCTGACGCCCTGCTTTCCTGCGCTGGTGAGCAGGATGAGACCAGGTCTGAAGTCCTTGGTCTCAGTCTTGGGGACCACAAAGAGGAAGCCCAGGAGGGAGGTGCCTCTGAGGGGTGCTCGCAGTTCTGGGCCTAGCCCTTCCAGAGAGAAAGGTGGTGCACCCCTTCCCCGGGACCCCAGCTAGAGCCATGCAGGCCAGCACTGGACAGATTTGGCTCCTGAATCCCCTGAATGATGGCCTTCTGGGGCCCCTGGGCCCTACAGCAAGTGGCCCAGCCTTAGATATAAAGTCCTTGGCTTGTTGTCTTGGCCACCAAGCCAGGAGCAGCACGAGACTTCCAAGGTCCCTGACGCTTGGTGATGGTGAGGACTGAGGTGCATGGGTGGAAAGACACAGCCGTGGGGTCTCCTTGCCTGTCATGGGCCATGGTGGGAGAGGTGCTGCTCCCAACGGTAGATTTTGGGGAGCACAGCGTCCACCCCCATGGTGGAGTCAGGTGGGGGCTGGTGTTGGGGATAAAGATCTATTGGGGCTTCATATTTTCCTCAGGGATTGGCCCTGAGGGGCCCAGCAGAAAGAGCCCCGGGGTCCTGGTTAGGGGAAGAGGGGGCTTGGCCTCACACTGGCGGGATGAGCCCCAGTCCTGGTTCTGGGGTCAGCAAACCACCCCCATCTGGCTTGACACATTTAAATTGCTGTTTACACTTTCAAATGGCGGGGGGTGGTGGGAAGGAAGATTCTGGACAAGTGAGCCTCGAAGAGCCTGAATTCCCAGGGTCCCTCGGTGGTGCCCTGGGAACTGGCCCTGCCCTCCACTCCTTGCCCCCTCCACCCCGTTCCCCTGACTGGGGGCACAAACCTCAGCCCTGCTGGCCTGGCCTCTCACTTCTGTCCCGAGCCCCAGGCAGCTGGGTCTCCGTTGCCCGTTGCCCACCCGCCCTGAGCCCACAGCACACCTGGTTGGGGCTGCTTTTAATGGACACGCAATGTCTGTGCGTGCTGGCTGCCCTTGGCTGTCTGGCGGCCACCTGCCCACCTTCCCACTCCCCGGAGTTATGGTGGGACAGCGCCCCCTGCAGTCTGCCCGAGCCTGCTTTCTGAGAGACGGTCTGCTGGGCGTCATGGTGCTCGGGCTGGCATCCGCTCTGTGGGCCACCCTGTGAGGCCGTAGCTGTTGGTGAATGGAGTGTAGCACCCCACCCCAACCCCAGCATGTGAACAGGCCAGCCTCGGGGTCTCAGGGGTGGGCTGTGAGCTCACCTAGCACTTCAGACCCAGCACAGGGGAGGGCAGTTGGCCAGGGCAGGTGGGGGGCGGCTGGAGAAGCCCAGACCCGCAGATGGTGGGCCCCGGGTGTGGGTAGAAGACCCCCATGGCAGTGTTTGTGGCAGGGCTGCCCTGGTCTGCACTTGCACCTCCTGGGGTCTTTGTAGACCCTCCTGGCAGGACCCCTTCTAGGCCTTGCTGTGAGACCCCCCAACCCAGAGCCCAGACCCAGAGCAGTGAGCCTCCTCCCACTGTGGCCTCACAGACCGCCGCAGCCAGGGACTGTCCTCCCGCGCACAGAAGTGGTTCTATGAGAGGTTCGGGGAGTACCTGGAGGATTTCCGCTTTCAGCCCGAGGAGAACACCGTGGAGACCGAGGAGCCCCTTAGTGCCCGCAGGTAGGGTGCCAGTGTGGGGACAGCCGGAGGGGGGGCGTCGGAGCCTGGGCCCTGCATCATGGTCAGGCGATGGGCAGTGATGCTGAATCGTAGCTGCCGCTGGCCCCTGGAGGCCCCCAGCCGGTCCTTCCCCCCATGCTGGTCTCACGCTGTGTGACAGGTGTTGCCCAGGGCCCACGTGCAGGGCACAGGGTGGCTGCCTGAGTGGTTCACATGCCCGGGCCCTGGGGCCCCTGAGAAGCCAGATCTGCAAAGCCCCTACCCTGGAGGGGATGTGGCCGGTGACAGGCAGACTCTTGTTACAGCGGTGCCTGCCTTCCTGACCTAGGAAGCAGTGGCGGGCACTCCTGTACCGCGCTGCCCCCGAGTGTGGTGGCCCAGGCGTCCAAGGCTCCTGGGCATTTAGTGCCCTCCTGTGCTTGTGTGCAGGGGCGTGGGTCGGGGGCCCAGGGCCTGGGTGAACTAACGCGATCCACCTCTCTCCTCTCAGGTTAACAGAGAACATGAGGCGGCTGAGTAAGTGCGGCCCCCTGGCCGGTGCGGGTGGTGGGGGACAGAGCCCACCCTGGCCGCCCCAGCGTTTGGGTGAAGAGTGATGCTTTTCTCCCATACTTCCCAGGCCCCAAGGAATCCCAACACGCCCCTCCGTCTTTGCCCCCTGCCCTTTTTCCTGCCCCCCATGGGCCTGGGCATGGGGGGCAGGTGGTTTCCCCCCGGGTGACTCGTAGGGTTGTGCTGCGCTGACCACTGCAGTCTGCTCCATTCCCAGAGCGCGGGGCCAAGCCTGTCACTAACTTCGTGAGGGACCTTTCCGCCTTATCCGACTGGTACTCTGTCTACACCTCTGCCATTGCCTTCACAGTGAGTGGCTCCCTGAGGGTGGGATGACCGTGCCACCCTTTGCTGTATCCCCCAGGTGGGCAGGGCCGGGGTTCCTCTCTTTTATAAAGAGAATGGAGGTCAGAGGGTCACATCAGAGGCGAGTGTGGCCCAGGACCCCAGGACGAGAGGGATGTGGCCCCTCCGGCCCTGCACGGCCCGGGCTGTGACCTCAGGCCCCTGGCGTGCTTGCCGTTGGCTTGCCGGATCCGGTGCACAATGCCTGTCCTCTGACCTGAGACTAGGGCCAGAGAGGCGCCCAGAGGGCACATGGTGGTGTAGGGGACCCAGCGTGGCTTCTCTGAGCCGTGGTCTGGGAGAGATGAGGGGACGTGGGCTTGGCATCGTTGGGGGCCCTGCCCGCCTGCCCCACACAGGGGAGACCCTCCTGTCTGTCTCGGTGCCCTCCAGCGTGAGAAGGGCCTTGGGGAAGGCCTAGTCTGAGTGCCCAGAGCTAGCTCTGCCCTGCCGAGTGGGCCCTTGTCTGGGTGGCCCTGAAAGGCTAGTGGCTGTCCAGGCCTCGGTGTGCACCTCGGAAGTGGCACTTGGCATCCTCACCGGTGAAGCTTTGGGGGTGCGGGGCCTTCACAGCTGCTCTGCTCTGAGGCCTCCCTGGGGCCCACACACACCACCCCACCTGTGCCTTGGCCCTAAAGAGATGAGCCCCTTGGTTCTGACCCTCCTCCCAGCTGCCAGCTGAACTCAGTTCCATTCTCGCCCCTGCTCCGTGCCCCTGGGTCTGTCACTGTCCAGGGTGTGGGTGTCACGGGGCCTGGGCCTGCTGTCCTCTTCTGTCCGGTGGCTCACGCTTGGCACACTGAGCGGCCGCCTCCTGCCACCAGCCCCAGGTGTGCCTCCCTCTTCACCCCCAGTGCAGCCCCTCTCCCGGCCCCTCGGCTGCCTCAGGGACCCCGTGTCCCCCACCCCACCCCGCTGACTGCTGCCAGATGGTTGGGGACTGGGAGGGAAGCACCTGTCTCAGCTGGGCTGCCTGACGTGCCCCTCTCCCCCAGGTGTACATGAATGCTGTGTGGCACGGCTGGGCCATCCCCATGTTTCTGTTTCTGGCGATTCTGAGACTGTCCCTCAATTACCTCATTGCCAGGTAGGTGAGCCAAGTTGGGTGGCTCTGCTGTGCTGTTGTCCTGCCTCACGCACCGTTGTGATGCGGAGTGTGCCACACGCTGGCATCTGGGGGTGGGCAGAGGCTCCCCAGTGGACCACGGAACCCACCGTGGATCACCCCTCCCTGTCACTTTGCCCTAGGGTGGGTTGGTGAGGCCACAGGGCTCTGTGCTCTTGACTTGCCAGCTGTTTATTGTTGTGAGAAGAAAGTGAGGAGCAAGGGCTGGAATTTGGGGTGAGCATCAGTGGCACCCACACGGCGCACCTGTGCAGCGGGCGTTTTACAGGGAGCACGCTAACCCCGCTGAGCCTGGGCTGGGCCTCATGGCCTCCACGGCTTCTGTGAGCTCCCTAGGGGACCCTCAGTGCCAGCCTCAGCCCCACGAAGGATCACACTTCGTACACCAGGCTTCAGCGTCTTTCTGTGCCCGGATCCGTGTAGGTTTGTAGAGACGAAAACATTGAAAGATGAGGGGTGATTAAAATATGCAGTCAGTGCTTCCATTTAGAGAAATACTGATTACAGTAAAAGGCGCATTGCCACGAGTCCCCCTGAGACCCACGCCTGCCCTGTTCCTCTGCCTTCTCTGGAGCAGTTCTGGAGGTGCTGTGTCCTCAGAGTCTTCCCGGGGTGGGTCAGAAACATGGCGAGCGCTGCTGTGAGGTGCTGTCATTACCCCGCGTCCCACCCCACTCGTGCCCTGGTCTGGCACCATGTGAGTGCTCACTCTTCTGGCTCGAACCCACGAGCCAGAAGGACCCTGAAAGGGCAGTGTTTTGAGTCAACTCAGGACATCGAGGCAGCCACCATAGGGCAACTAAAGACACTGAAAAGAGGACTCCCAGAATCGCTTCAGAAAGTGAAAAGAAGGTTGGGGATGAGTCTTTTCGAAGCCAGGGGAGGATTCTGAGGGCGGCTCATGGCAGTGTCTTTTATTGTAATAAATTTTTAAAAATTAAACATTCACTATTTTCAAGCATACGATATACTTTTTTTTTTTCGTGGTGCTGAGGGCTTTGAACCTAGGGCTTTGAACACACTAGGTGAGTGCTCTGCCCCTGAGCTGCGTGCCCAGCCCTAGTCCCCGAGGTGAGGCAGGGTCTGTGGCTACTGCTGCCCACCAAGTTGTGGTTTCCCCTCCCCCTTGTCACCGGCTGCTGTTGGACCGGAGGGTGACTGGAACGGCCTTGAGGCCTACAGCAGGGTTTGGGAGCCCTTCTTTCCCGTCTGGCCACACCACAGGGTGAGGGGCCCTAGCTAGACATGCCTCCATGTTGTTCCCTGAGCTTGGCCAAGGTTGTGCTCATTTCTCTCTGCCAGGGGCTGGCGAATACAGTGGAGCATTGTGCCAGAAGTGTCTGAGGCCGTGGTGAGTCCCGGGGGGCAGAGGGCCCCTTCATCTGTTCCCACCGGTCAGGCCTCCAGCCTCTGTCAACGACGAGAAGGCTTCCGGATGAGGGCCCTGCCCTGGAGAGGAGGTGTGGGGACAGGGCAGACACCCCAGCCCTGAGCCCTGGGGGCCATCTACTCTTGCCCCAGCCCATCCTTCCTATATCTTCTCAGCTGCTGTAGCCCCCACCCACCCCTAGGTAGGAATGTAACTGAAGAGCTGGACAAGTAGACGTGTACTCTCCTGGGACTCTGGAGCCTAGCACTGACCCACTGCCTAGTTTGTCAGTAAAGTTTTATTGACACTCAGCCGTCCCCGCTCATACACAGCCTGGTTTATGCTGTGGCTGCCTTTGCACTATAATGAAGAAGCTGTGACAGAGCCACATAGTCAGAAAAGCTGAAAAAACTTAACAGAAGTTGGCTCTAGAAGGAGGCTCAGACCTGTGAGGCTGAACTATTGGGTGTGGATAGAGGGAGACCATGGTGCCTTCATGGCCTGTCTGATATTTGAGTACCTACTATGTGCCTGGAGCACCAGGGGTTGAGGAGATGTCATGGGGCAGGCCTGTGTCTATCCAGCCCTGGGACCTGGGCCCCTACTTGCTGGACCTCAGTTTAGCTGCCTGTTAGGGCCTGAGTAGTGGCAGGTGGTGAAGGGAGCTATGAGAGAGGCTCAGGGTACCCTCCCCACCCAGAGTCCCCTCTGGCTATGCAGGTAGAGTAGAGTGACCCACAGGTCCCTGGGGCTGGGTTGCTTCTTGCTGTTTTATCAATAATTTCTCTAAACTGTTAAATTTCAGTGGAAAATTCTCTTTCCCCTTTGACTGAAGGAACCTCCAAAGGAGGACCTGACCGTGTCCGAGAAGTTCCAGCTGGTGCTGGACGTCGCCCAGAAAGCCCAGGTACTGCTGCAGGCTCTTCCAGCACAGGGCACAGGGGAGCACGCGCAGCCCCAGGCCAGGCTCCTCTGCCATCAGCTGCTGGTGCTTAGCTGGGGTATTCTCAGCTTGTGGTGGGGCGCCCCCTGCTGGCCAGGGCTGGGAGGCTGCTGGCCTGGTTAGCGGTTACTGTGAGTATAGCTGCACTGACTCAGACCAGAGCTCCTAGGTGCGGGGGTGGCCAGGGTGGACCGCCGGGCTCTGGTGGCCAACAGGCACGTGAGTCTGTGGTCCTTTCCTTTTCATTCAGAATCTATTTGGCAAGATGGCAGACATCCTGGAAAAGATCAAGAAGTAAGTGGCCACCCCCAGCCCCACCCAAGACAGCACCGGGCCCCACCTGACCCCCGTCTCCCTTCCAGCCTGTTCATGTGGGTGCAGCCCGAGATCACGCAGAAGCTGTACATCGCGCTGTGGGCCGCCTTCCTGGCCTCCTGCTTCTTCCCCTACCGCCTGGTGGGGCTCACCGTGGGTAAGGAGATGCCCTGGGCTTGGCAGTGTGGGGTCCGGAGCTGGACAGCAGTCCGTGGCACGTCTGACAGCCTCCAGGAGCAGGCCAGGCCTTCAACTCACCTTCAGATTTGGGAGAAATAAGGGCCACCAAATTCTAGGGACATGATGGCACCTGCCTGCCTTCCTTCCTTCCTTCCTCCCTTCTGCACTGGGAATTGAACCCCGGGCCCTCATACTGAGCTACATCCGCAACCCTTTTTTTTTGAGACAGAGTCTCACGTAGTCACCAAGTCATCCAGGCTGGGCTCCAACTTGTGATCCTCCTGCCTCATCCTCCCAGAGTGCAGGCTGTTGTCACCATACCTGGCTTCGATGACCATTTCTCAAGTCAAGTGTGACCTTTGCCTGTAGTAGTAAGGGGTTGCTGGGCCCTGGCTCAGGGGCCGTCTCTTGGGGCGCCAGCCTGTGAGCAGTCAGCAAGCATCTGTCTTGTGGCTGGGAGGGTCACAGCTGCTGAGGTACCTGGCTCCAGGTGCCCCGCGCCGGGTGGCAGCTGAGGAGTTAGTGATGTGGCGTGAGGTCAAGGGTCACGTCCACCTGCATGCTCATTTCCTACGGTCATGGAAGGAGAGGGGGTGGTGACGAACGTCGAGGGAGGTGTGTGGCTGTGGCGGTGGTCACCTCCTCTCCCCTCTCACTCAGGCGGGATGTGGCCGGACTTGGCGCTGGCACACAGGGTACTTGGCGGGAGCTGAGCGAACAGGGAAAGGGGAGGGCAGAGAGCGCTCTGATGCATCTGGGCTCAGACCTCATGCCCACGCCGTCCGAGGTGAGCACAGAGCTCTGTGGCAGGCTCAGAAGGTGATCAGGACACAGCACGGGCACCTCCGAGGCCCTGCCTCTCTGCCTCCACGCCTTGGCTGGAGACCCGGGGCTGGGTCCTTCCGGGAGCAGCAGCCTGGGACGGCCTGCTGTCCAGGGCTCCGGGTCCTTACTAGCTTTCGGTTCGCGTCCGTACCGCCCAGCGTGGTCTCTGCGCTGCTCCGTCTCCTCACCGCGCGTGTTCCTTTCACACCACTCAGGCTGGTTACCAACTTACTTCCCCGTCAGCTCCCAGGCTGTAGCCCGAGCAGGCACGGATGTGGCCTGTGGTGGGAGAGGGTATGGTCTGTGGTGGGGTTAGGGCCTTGGCAAGAGAGAGCAGGGCACTGGCCTTGGGGCTCTGGGGCCCCCGATGAGCGAACGGATGGGGTAGGCACAGGGAAGGAGTGAGAGGGACAATGAGGCCTTTCCCGACCTGCCGGGCAGGTGACGGTGCCCAGGTCCCATGCCCAAGGCGGGCTGGGATGGCAGGGTATACGGAGTGTGGCCACCTGGCCCCAGGTCTGTGTGCGCAGGACAGAGCTGCATTGGGACTTCTGATTTGGGGGCGGATGAGCCTCTAGGAAAGTGAGGCTGGGTTGGGACAGAGGGGACACTGAACTGCTCAGTGGGAGCACCCCAGCAGCGGGTGAGGCTGGGAGGGACCGGAGACGGGTAGTGTGGTATGGGCCTGGGGAGGGGACGCTGCCAGGAGGGGTCTGGGGCGGGGTGTGGTATGAGGCCGTGGGCCCCGAGGAGGGCACCCCCAAACCCGGAACCCCTGAGTGAGGGGCCAGCTGTAGAGCATGGAGGTCGAACTGCAGGAGCCGGGGGCCTCAGAAGCGCAGGAGGGAGAGGGCCGCATGCAGCCCATGGGTGGCCTTGCTGAGATTAGGAAGGGGCAGAGAGGCCACCGCGAATCCAGGGTCAGCATCGTCCTGAGGCCATGCAGGGCCCCTCCACAGTGTGCCGGTGTCGGCTGCAGATCTGAGGGAGGACACTGAACGTGGTGACCATGCAACCCAGGGCCCTGACAGACTGAGCGCTGCATCCATCCGCCCTTGGCCTGTGTCCTGAGCGGTCCTCGGCCTCTTCCTCCACTCCTCACCAGGGAACTGGAGCTGGTGGACAGTGTGGCTTTGGGGTGACAGGGCTGTGAGGTGCTGTGGGCTCCCATCGTCCTTCAGACCTCCCGTCCACTCTGGCCAGTGAAAGGCGTAGCCCAGAGGAGGCAGGGTCGGGGTCAGGTCTTCCAGAGACTCCCTTGTGCCACCTTTGGGGGTGGCGCTCATGGTGTCCGTGGTCCCCTTTGTTTTCTGAGGTAGTTTACATTTTGGTCTGAGACTCTTCTGGCTCCCCTGCCCAGTGCTGACCCCACCAGGGCACACACCCGTCCCGTCCTGGACCAGGATTCAGGGCCCTCCGAGGGCACCAGCCCTGCCTGCCCTATGGGTTTGGGAGGTGCCCTTCCTGGGGCTCCCTGTGGAAGGTGCTGGAGCAGAGGGCCTGGCTGAGGGTCGGAGTGGACCGGACTCTCTCCTTGGGCCTCGGTCTGGGTGTGATGCACTCTCTTCCCTTTGCAGGGCTCTATGCTGGCATCAAGTTTTTCCTCATCGATTTCGTCTTCAAACGCTGCCCCCGGCTGCGAGCCAAGTATGACACTCCCTACATCATCTGGCGGAGCCTCCCCACCGACCCTCAGCTCAAGGAGCGCGCGGGTGCCGCTGTGTCGCGCAGAGTGAGCCTGCTGTGACCCTGACCCTGACCCTGGGGCTCCTTTGCCTGTGCTCACTCAGAGGCCAGTGCTTTTCCAACCTTATGCATCCCAGAGAAGCCATTGCCAGTGTCCTGTGTCCCCCACCTGCTGGGTCCCTGCTGGAAGCCCTTAGAGAGGGGTGTGGCTGTGCCTGCTGAGAGCCAGGGGCTGGGACAGAAAGGCCGGGAGTGGTGGCCCACCAGTATGACCACTGTCCTTTAAGGTGGGATTTGGGGATTGAGGCCAAATAGGGCCTAAGCTGGTACCAGGCCCTTAGTTCAGACTCTTCTGAGCCAGGATTTCAGGATGGTTGGGCCTGGGTGCCCTCCTTGGGGTCCTCAGGTGAGTGGCGAGGACCCAGGCCCAGTACCCCACTGGAGAAGTGCAGGAGGACTTCCCAGAGGAGGACCTGTGGGAATAGTCTCGGCGGGCCTGTCCTAAGGAGAGGGTGTCCCAGGGACCCCGGATGCCTCTGTCAGAGGGACAAAGCTCTGGGTCAGGTGTGGGTTGCACTCCCGGGCTCAGGACCACTCGGTGGAGATCAGGGGAGCGGGCACAGGGCTGGGACCTTCTGGGATGGCAGCTGCCCACCCCAGGTGTCCCCTAGGCCTCCATGTCTGTGCTCGGCTCTGCTCAGGGCCTGTTTGTGACCTTGTGTCATGTCCTCCCCACTTTTTCTTTTGTGGCGGTCACACGTCTGTGGCCTCCTGGCCAGCTGTCAGGGCATGACGAGGTACGGTGGCTGTGTGGAGCCCCCTCAGCCTGCTGTGACCCGATGCCATGACCTGATGCTGTGCTGTGACTGGTTTTCTAAGTCGATGTTGGTGCCCCGTTTGGGTTCCGAAATGTCCACTTTCCCAAAGAATGTGTGGTGCTGACAGCTGCACCCTTGGGCTCAGTGTGCTGGGGAAAGTTGCAGGGCCTCCCTGGGGAAGGAGGTCCCCACCCAGCCCCGGACTAGCACAGGAGCGCCCATGGGAGCTGCACCTCCCGTTTGGAGTGGGTGGAGCCTCTTTGCCGGTCCGAGTTAGCAGGGGTGAGCAGGGGGACGTCTGTCTGTGCGTGCCCACCCCCATCCCCCGTTACCAGCACGGCCAGCTGCTCTGCACCCCAGTCTGACGAGCTTCCTGTGTGCTCTCGGCAGCTGCAGACGGCCGCATCTCGGAGCTACGTCTCCAGTGCACCAGCCGGCTTGAGCAAGGATGAGGACGCTGGTCGCCTCCACAGCACCAAGAAGGGCAACTTCCACGAAATCTTCAACTTGACTGAAAACGAGCGTCCACTGGCAGGTGTGTGTGTGACGAGTCTGTGGTCCAGCTGGGCACAGGTGCGTCGGGTGACCTCACCCCCGTGGCAGGCCCACAGAAGAAGCTCACGGAAGAGGCCTCCCCAAGGGCAGTGCACAGGCACCAAGGCCTTAGGACAGTAGCAAGGGGGCATCCCTGGGGGAGGCGATGTCCTCTGGTCAACAGTACAAGCCCGGCAGTATCTGCTCCACGTTGGTGTCAGGGCTGCGGGTGCAGGCCGAAAGCCTGACCCCTGCACCAAGGGTATCCTGGCCTCTACACATAAAGGCTGTCCCGCGGCAGGGGCCTTGCAAGCTGGGTCTCCTTACAGAAAGTAGCGCCCATGAAGCCTCAGCCCTGGCGGCCTGCAGCATACAGCAACCAGCCGCAGAGATTTCAGTTGGGCCTGGCTTTTTCCGGAACCCCCTCCTGCAGGTCTGGGGTCAGAAACTGGGCCACATGTGGATTTCTTCCTTTCCGCTGTTGGTGGTGCTTACAGTTCACATGCAAAGGAGGCCCAGGTCCAGACACCCTCAGCCATTGCCTCGCTCCCCGTGGTCCACCCTCCTCTCACCCTAGCCCCACGCTGCTAGGCCAGCATTCGCCCCTGAAAGCACAGTACTCCTGCACTCGCTGTGGGCTTTTTCTGCCGGTCCTGATGGACTTGGGTATATGATGCTCAGCACTGGTGGGGGCCAGGGTCCGATCAGAGGATGAGTCTTTCCAGCAGGAGGAAATTTCAGGCCAGTTTTCTCCCCTCAGTGTGTGAGAATGGCTGGCGCTGCTGCCTGATAAACCGAGACCGGAAGATGCCCACGGACTACATCAGGAACGGGGTTCTCTACGTGACAGAGAAGTGAGTGAGGCCGGGGACCTCTGGGTGGACTGAGGTGGGGGGAGGTGCAAGTGTGTCCTCACCTGGAAGGGGACAGTACAGCAGCCTGTGTGAGGCAAGGCCCCGAATCCTTGCTTTACAAACAGCTTTGCCTTTGCTCTGCTAGCTAGATGATAGGACACTAACCCTAGCTGCCCTCAACCCCGGGGTGGGACATGGATCCATCTGTCCACACACACACACACACACACACACCCAATCTGCAGCAGTAGTCAAGGCTCTATGCTCCCTCTGCACAGAGAAGGGACCAGCCCGGGAAGTCCTGTCTCCTGCCTGGGGGTGACAGGTGGGCACCAAGCAGGGCTTTCCAGCACTTGGCGGTGCTGTGCCTCATGGGGAGGGTGTCAGTGATGCCCCTGGGCTCAGGGGTGGATTGTGCCCTGCGTTCTCTCCGCATCTAGTTACTTATGCTTCGAAAGCTCCAAATCTGGGTCTTCAAAGAGGAACAAAGTCATCAAGCTGGTGGACATCACAGACATCCAGAAAGTGAGTCCCCGTTACTCCTTCTGAGGGGGTTCTGTCTGGAGACCCCAGACCTGGGTGCTGTCATGTTGGCCTTTGGAAAGTCTCCACACTGAGCCTTTCAGCTCCATCTGAGTGTCCGTGTCCCTCAGCCACACCAGCTCAACCTTAGCCTCCCTGCCAGCCTCTGGTGGCCAGCACCTGCCCTGGTCCCCACCCTACAGGGAGCAGGGGAGGGGTCAGCGAGGTCCACTTGCCCTGCAATGCAGCTGGAAGGGAGCACCTGAGCTTTCTCTGCCCACATTAGCACCCGTCCCATCTCTGACACCCTAGAAAAGCTGAGCTCCTGCCTTAGATGTGGCTGTGGACTGCTGCTGTGTCCACCAAGGGTGGCTCCCTGGCCATTTGCCTCATGGGTCAGCATGCACTTGAGCAGCTGGCATGGGCATGGGTGTGTACCGTGCCAAGGGTGGGAGGCTCACTGTCTGGGGCAGAAGAGCACTTGGGGAGGAGCCAACAGGGCTGCAACTCGCTTCTTCCCAGCTCCGGGCAGCTGGGCCAGGGGTGCCGACTGTGGACTGGAGGTCTGCTGGGCCGGGCCCTCTCTCCCTGATGTGTTTGGCACTCAGCCCTATGGCAGGTGTGGCTGTACAGTTGGGACCAGAACCTTGGGGTAACGGCCATTGGGGACGAGTCTGGGCCCATTCCCTACACTCAGGCCACCAGCCATTTCACGCCCCATTTCTCAGTCGAGGGTCAGTAGACATCGGAGGTCCTTGTCCTGTGTCCCTGGGCCTCACCATTGATGTGCCTGGTGGAGGAGATGCCCTGGCCCCGTGGGGAGCTGGCGCAGCCCTGCTGAGGGGGCTGTGGTGACGCCGCTGTTGTCTTTCAGTACAAGGTCCTGTCTGTCCTCCCGGGCTCAGGCATGGGAATTGCTGTGTCGACGCCGTCAACACAGAAAGTAAGTGGCCAGGTGGGGGCTCAGCTCTGGCCATGCCTCGGTCTGGCTCTGGTTACAGTCTGGGCAGGGAGCTGCAGACTGCTACACATCCTGTCTGTATCCATTGATCGTAGCTCTTGGGACGGTAGAGTCCCAGGACAGATTAGTACTCAGGAAGGGAGCCAGCGTGAGCCTGGAGCCCAGGTTCCCCACTCTGGCTTTGGTTTCTCTGAGCCTTCTTGGTGGGACCCTGCACGGCTGCTTGTTGCTCTGCCTGGGGTCACCGTCTTGGCCCCAACTTGGCTCACCGACAGTGTTTCCCACTCCCCAGCCGCTGGTGTTTGGCGCCATGGTGCACAGGGACGAGGCCTTCGAGACCATTTTCAGCCAGTATGTGAAGATCACGTCTGCAGCAGCCTCGGGTGGGGACAGCTAGTACTGAGCCCTGGACACCACTGGAATCTTTTTAACAGTCAGTATGGGACAGAGTGGACAGCCTCATGACCTTTTGCAATAATTCCCCGACCTGTGGTTTCTGTTGCGTGGCTGCATTCACACCCAGGGGCTGAGGCTCACGTGGAGGTACCGCTGCCCACTGGTGGGCACATGTGGCACCTTAGTGGACACAGCTGGGCAGAGGGGCTTCAGGGCTCATTGGGAAGATGACATGCAGGACGCCACTGACCAGGCCTGCTAAGCACAGCTCCTCATTCTGCATCCCACCTGGGTAGAGACTGGCACCGGCCACCCTAGGAGGCTCTCGTGACCCCTTGACCCCTGCTTTGCAGAGGCCAGAAGCTGCCCCACCAAAGCCATAGCAGAGTGCATCCATGGTCTCCTCCGGCTGGGGTCAGGAAGGAGTGGAGTTTGGTCCCCCTGCACCAGCTGCCCAGAAAAGGCCAGTGGGTTTCCCTCACCTTTAGCGCTTGTCTTTGGAGCCCCAGGGCATCGGCCTGGGGACAGGGTTGTCATCGTGGGAGCAGTGAGATTGGGTGTATTTGGGGGCACCTCCCTCTCACCTGCTGTGGCAGATAAGCTTGGAGGCCTGTGGTTGAACAGGAAGGGTACAGAATGGCATGTGGGTAAAAGCGCATCTCAACATTGATCCTCTGAGAGCCGCTGGAAGATACCAGGAAGGCTGTGGGGTGCTCTGAGCTATGGCTGCTCTCAGGTGAATACCAATAGTCTGGCTGGCACTGGCCCTGGGGCTGCAACCACACATGTAGGCGTGGGCCAGAGACCCAGGCTGCAGATGCCCTGCCTGTGGGGCCATCGAGAGCTCCTGGGAGAGGACCCTGTGCTGTAGGGAGTGGCTGTGAGCAGATGCTGGTGTGGGGCTAGGCCATCCTGCATCCCTGACATCTGACAGTGTTACCCCTGCGGCAGAGCCAGGCTGGACGCAAACCCCCAGGGCTGTGCACACTGGCTCAGATGAACTCTGGCTCTTGCAGAAGGCCGGAGGGTGTGTCTCCCAGGCTTGCTTTACCCTGGGATGTCACCTACACATGGATTTGAAATGAAAAGAAGCTGACATCAAGTCCTGGGACCGGCTTGGCCTCTGAAGGCCGCAGCCACACTCAGTCTGTACGCTCGTTAAGCAGTCTCTCCAGTTCTTCAGCTTGGCCTGGGTCTTTCAGGTGTCTCTGAGATTGTTTTTTGAAGAAACAGATTATATTTTTTACAGAGAGCAAGCTGTTTTTCTTATTTTTGTATCATTTTTCAAATGTAATTTTTACCTTTGCTCTGAACCCTTGTTGGCTGGCTTGGGAGAAGATGCGGTGTGTGGGCTGGTGACCCTGGTCACACCTGGCACGGAGACGGCACAACCGGCCAGATCAGGCACAGTGGCCACACCAGGCTGCGCCGACGGTACCACCACACCTCTTGTTGAATTCAGAGCTCCCTGGCGTGGCTTACCCGGCAGCAGACCCAGTTCTCAAGTGCACGGGTTTGGGCAGGGCCCACGAAGACCCCAAGAGGAGGTAGGAGGGGCCCTGACCTGTCCTGGGGGCGGATGTGTGGGTGATGCCCAAGGGTGATGGTCAGACCTGTTCCCTGGCCCCGGCAGTGCCAGGGCGGGTGTTAGGAACGCGATCAGTGAGCACTTCCTGTGCACACTGGGATGCTGTCCACAAGCACCATGGGGAGGGCCTGGGCGGGCGGGGCTTCTTCAAAGGCTGTGGCTCAGTTTGAGTCCCTTTCTCGGAGAAGGGCGGTGAAGACGGGCCACAGCCTGCTGGCGCAGCCCCTGGTGTGAGGGAGGCCAGCACCAGTCCACGTTGCACAGCCAGAAGGGGCAGGTCCTTCAGGGGGTTCCGGGGGCCCGGCTGGGCCGGGCCAGGCAGGGCTGGGCCGGGCTAGGGGTCTACACAGGCCCTGGGTCATCAGAGACCATGGTTCTGCATAAATCTGGGCGATATTTAATTTCTATGACTAATCACTGAACTAAAACGAATGTTGAAATTTTGTATGTCCGAAGCTTGAGTCTATTTTGGATCTGTACGTAATCGTTACTGGTGTAACTTTTGTTCATCGAAAGGATTGTACTGTATGAAGAACCCATGAAAAAACCTGTCACATTTTTTAAGAAAATCTTGTTTAAAGCAAAAGTCTTGTATAAATTATAATTTTTACTTAATTAAATCTAAAATGCTTTGTGCTAAGGCTCAGCCCCTTGCTTTCTTGGCAGGGTGTGGGGCCCCACGGGACCCCACGTCCCATTGCCCCTGGAGGGTCCCTGCAGCCACTGTGAGCCTTGATGTGTGAACTGAGTGCGGTGTGAGGAGACGGAGGCCAGCCAGTGCCATGGGGCTGGGACCGGATCGCAGCCCCACCAGTCGTAGTGTCCTGGCTCTGGCGAGTCACTGGCAGAGGGTTCCTGGTGACACTGGCAGTTGGGTTGATTAGACACACTGGACAGAGGGATGCAGGAATCTACCTGGCTTCTAAATCCACTGTGATCAAGCATGGGCCGGTGTAGCTCACGCCGATAGTACCTGCTGTCTACATTCCAATCTCCATGAACCCCAGGAAGGGCGCCGGAGCCAGGTGGAAACCTCAGGGGTGTAGCCAGGTATGGCTGGGCGTTTGTACACTGTCAGTCTGTCTTCCAGTCTTCTGTGCATCCATCCACCCACCTACCCACCCATCCTCACACCTGTCCATCCATGTATCCATCTACCTGTCCACGCATCCGTCCACCCTGCCAGGCAGAGCAGGCACTGTCCTGCTGGCCGGGATACAGCAGAGAAAGGACAAAGGTGGCTGGGAACCTGGCAAACTTAACACTCAGCCCCTGGCGAGACCACAGTGCTGCTGTGCCCGTGCTGCCTCCTCACCCTGCTCTCCTCTGCCCCTTGGGCTCGCCTTCTCCGTGCTCACTCATAGCCCGATGGTCTGCACAACTGCTGGGCAACACAGCCGGACCCAGGCCCAGTCCTGCTTGGCCTCACACTGGGTTCCAAGAGCAAAATGGGGCGGAGCAGAAAGGCACAACAAGGTAGCCTAGTGCTCATACCTGACCCTGAAGGGTTGTGCTGGCTGAAAAGCAGCCATGCCAGGAAAGTGACATGCTACACTGGGTGGCTGCCTGCAGGCAAACAGCAAAACCTACAGCATACCACCTGCCCTTGGAGAATTCAACCTCACAGAAAGGCAGCCACGGCAGCCTCGGATTTTAAAATGGTGGCCACCTGCGAGGGGCCGACGGGAGTTCAGGAAACAGGTGGTGTAAGTGACATCTTTGTTTACTTTGTTCTTATTCTTTTAAAATGTCCGTGTGTTTTCCTGAACAGTAGTCTGCTTTGAAAATACTATGGATTTGTAAAAGAAAGAAAAAAATGCCAAATTCTGCCCAAAGTAACTTTATTTTTGTCTTCTCAAACATATCAGAGCAAATACATCATTTTCTAATCTTGAAACCAGCAAGATTTAAAGGACCCGAGCCGCACTCTCCCCAGCATTTCCAGAGCAGGAGCTGGGGTTCAGCACTGCCTGCTGCGTCACTGCAGAGTCCGCACACAGACTGCGGGCCAAGCGACCCTGCTCTATCCAGCCAGCACTGTGACTTCTCTAAACCCCCGGGCACAGGATTGGGGTTGTCACCCTCCGAGGCCTCGCAGGAATGTCAGCGCAAGCTGAGGAGCTCCTCACCAGGAGCCCGAAAACATTCAGATACTTGGGATTCATAATGTCACCTCCGGCTCCCAGGTGTCTTCCACCTGGGTCCTCTTGTCTGGGGCAGCCTGAGGGTAGCAAGAGCCAGACTGCCACCACAGGCGGGCCTCCAGGAGCACCGTGCCCTGAGCGTGCTCCAGGCCTGCTGGGCCGCAGGCGCAGAGGTCGCGGCTGGCCCCTTTCCCTCAAAGAACCACCAGCCTGACACTCGGTTTCTTCCCAAGCAGGGACAAAATAGCCCGAGTGTTTACTCTTTTTCCCTAGATTTTTCACTCAACCATCAATTCTTAAACCATCTGACTCACATAATTACCTCTGCAAATGTGGTCCACTTCAAAGCCACCTTGAAAGCTGCCTTTTTGTCTGGGTGGGACTGAACGATGAAATAGGAAACTTCACATATGCTTTTAAGATATATATCAAAGCAAGAAGCTCTAAAAATAGCTCCTGGATGTCAAGTGCTAAGGCTACTAGGGGACACTGTGTGGCCGATCACCCTACAGCGATCTGTGTAAGGCCCTACTCTGTGACAGCGGTGCCTGCCCAGGTCAAGCTTAAGCTGCACACTCTTGTACTTCAAATAAAACTGTTTTACATACATTTATCAGACACAGTCAGAAAACAGAGTAAAGACGGGCACCCAGCTGAGGTCCACCTCCCAGGGCAGGACGCCTGCCAGAAGGCCCTGGTCACTACCCAGGCTGAGCAGGGAGCAACCATCCCCTGAGGCACAGAGACAAAAAAACCCAAGCTCTTTGGATTGCTGAGGACAGAACTCCCGATAAATAAACAGAAGTCAGAACTCTGGACTAGACGTCAGGGTCTGTGCTGAAGCAGCCCTGCTGGAACTGGGGACCCCCCAACCCTGCTAGGACGGGGCCTTCAGTGTGAAGTCCACAGACCCCACCTTCCCTAAATTTCCCACCTGTCCAAAGCCAGCTGCATCGTGTCCCGCCACACAGCCCAGCTGTGTCGACTGCACTGTTAACATGAAGCACCGGGGTTCAGCCTGCCGGGCAGACTGCCCCCCACCCCCATCCCCGTGACGCCTCCACCTTGGGGAACAGGACACACTTACAGCTGCTCCCCGACCGACCGCTGTGTACGCGCCACTGCCGTTGCAGCCAAAGCCGGCACGGAGACCCTGAAGGTCACAGATGGCCTGGTGCCTCTCGAAGTGCCATGGCCAACAAGACGACACTGCAAGGGCTGCACCACACGGTGCGGATCGCACAGCGACATCCCACTCAGGAGAGGGTGGGTGCAGAGACGAAGCCAGCGAGGATCGCCAACTTGCCAAAACATGCTCACAAACAGTTCCGGGAAAAAGGTTCTGCGTAGTGGTTAGAATGATGCAGTCCAGATGGGGTGACCTGATGTTTGAAAAGTGCTCAGATGATGATGTCTCTAAAATTATTGCAACAGATCCACTAAAGGGCTGTTTCTGACCTGCACTGTTTGGAGTGTTAAAATCTAAGAAGCCAATGCCCCAAATCAGCAAGTTTCATCCGCGGAGCGCAATGGGAGATGCAGCTCAAGATTCCGAGGGCTTCAGGTGACAGTGCACAAAACTGTTCACAAGGGTGCTTTTCCTAAAACCAAGATTTACCTATCAAAAATAAATTTCTAAATGTAAATGTATATATCCACATAATTGGTCTGTAGTAGTTTTCTGAGATAATTTTCACAATGCCCATGAAGTGCAGTGGCTCTTCAGCTGTGTGGCTCCTGCTTAGGGTTCTCCTCGATTCCTCGGGCGAAGAGTCGGACCAGCTGGCAGTGGACCCTGCAGCAACAAAGTTCACTGCACTCACAACTGGCCTTGCCCCAGCCCCTCCACGCCGTGGAGACCCAGGGCGTCAGATTCAAGTGCGCTGGCAAATGCCTGTGCGTGCACCTGCCTGCCTCAGTTTCCCCTTCAGCACTGAGTCCACGGGCCCTGGGGGCTCCACACATGTAGGATATGTGTAGGGAGGGTTTGGTCAAGAAACACAAGACGTCTGATGCCAGCGGGAGCCCAGGGCAGAGTAGTGGGTGTGGGTCCTGGGTGTCCCAGCCCAGGGGCTGTGGTCCTGGGTAGGAACTGAAGCGCCCAGCTCCCCAAGAATGCCTTTCTTAATTTTGAAAGCATTCTGTCTCTTCAATAAATACACAACCCAGCGTTAAAAAATAATTTCATGCGCCAGGCATGATGGTACAACCCTATAATCCCAGCGCTGAGGGAAGCTGAGGCAGGAGGGTCACGAGTTCCACTCTTACCCAGGCAACTTAGCAAAACTGTCTTGAAATAAAAAGGGGATGGAGCTCAGGTGTACAGTGCCCCAGGTTCAATCCCCAGTACCTCAAAAAAACTACAAACTGATTTCCGTAACTTCTAGAGTGAATTAAAAGGGCCATTCCCCGTGTGCAGTTGGCTAGCCTGGTGGATCTGTCGTGCTCAGAGGGCACTGGGTGGTAGGTGCCGCGTGGACCCAGGACTCAGGGGCCCCAGAGCGATCCCGCCTCTCCGTCTGCATCATTTGGAAGCTAATGGTGAAAGCCTGTAACTCAGGGCTATGACCAGTCAGACTTGCAGCGGGGCCGACACAGTGACGTGTGCGGTGGCTGAGACATGAAGGGTGCCCACCACCGTCTGTGAAGCTTCCCCAGCCCACGCTCTTCCCCAGGAGGGCCTCGATGAGATACCCACCCACAGCACCAAACCGCTCATCCACAGCGGCACGCTGCTCCCCCGGATCCCAGGCTCTGCACACCCACACCTGACTCAAAGCAACTGCTGCTAGTGCCTTTCCTCAGGGAGGGAGCGCGTGCTGGGCGCGATCCATCTGGCTATGTAACACGCTCCACGGTACCACAGGTTGCCATGACCAAGCCTTGGTTCAGGGAGACAAACTCCCCATACCCGGGGGGCAGCCGCGAGAGCAGGACTGGCACTCCAGGGCGCCAGGGTCTGAGTTCCTTGTCAGTCTATGTGCTGGCCAGAGGGGCCCTGACCTACCCTCCGGTGTAAGGGTGGCTGAGTGTGCGATGCCCGCTTCACCCACCACGGGGCACCGACTTCTCAGGGCTCATCTCTGTTGGGCCGCCCCAGTCCTGAGGGCACTGGACTTCAGGGCCTCTGCACACCAAGTGTCCCCTCTGCCTCCAGGGGTCACTGCCATCCCCCATTCCCTGACCCTGACCAGGCACCACGTCTGCTGGTGGTCAGTGGAGCAGGAAGCTTTGGTAGATGGGCTGTGTTTGCTTCCAATGTAGCAACAGAGGAGAGAGTGGCAGGGCCGAGACCGATGGCAGCTCTGGGCACAGGGGGTGGCAAAGGAAAAGAACAACGGGGGGCTTCAAAAGCCTGGGCACAGTCTCTGGGACACACGAGTCACCCCAGTTCGACACCCTTCCTCTTTCCAAACCTGAGGAAGAACATCTTGAACTTCTGGCAAATGGGAGGAGAGGGCGTTTTCAGTGATAGTGTCCTGCTGGGACAGTGCACGGGGCCAGGTGTGGCATCTGTGGCCTGCAGCACACTTCGGGGTCCCCGCTCACCTGACCTCGATGGAGGGGCTGTGAAGCACCTCCCCGTCGCAGTTCCAGGAGCTGCCGCTGGCCGGGCAGCAGCAGGAGGGGCTGTCGGTGCAGATCTGTCCGAACCGCTGCTTCCCTCGCTCCGTGAGGTCACTGTCCTCGTCCTCCACGTGCTTCGAGGTGAACTGGAATCTCCTGACCCGATAAACTTCAACAAAAGTGAAGTCAAACTGCAGAAAGAGGACAAAAGGGGAAGCTGATCCCCGGAGCCGCCGCCTGCCCACTGTGCCAGGGTGGCCAGGCCTCCTGTGGCCATCGGACACCGGGCAGCACCCGGAGCCGCCCTGGCAGCGGCCAGAGGAGGAGGGAGATGGGTACCGCCCTCCCGGGCCTCACGATTTTGCCACTTTTGCGCTCACGGCGGCACCCTCAGCACCCAGCACCTCCCAGGAGTTCTGTGATTAGAGGTGGTCCTTTTAAAAGCCACATAAAAAATCACCGGGCCAGGTCTTAAATATAATTGAAGTTAGTAGAGACTGTGACCAAACATCCCAGCCTCCCCAGCTGAAGACTCGGGTCCTTCCTGAGTGGCAAAAGGGGCGCCAGGGATGATGGGAGGGTTGGACCTGCAAGTGTGACGAAAACTCCTGCCGCCGTGCTGTCCCCCAAGCAGGAAGGGTCAAGGGCAGACGAAGGTAAGTAGGAGCATTCACAGCTCTTGTTCTCCATGCGCAAGACTTCCATTTTTTTGGATGTTCTTGAGACAGGGTATCACTATGTAGTTGAGGCTAACCTCGAACTCATGGCCACCCTCCTGCCTCAGCCTCCCCAGTGCTGAGATTATAGGTGTGCACTACCACACCTGGCAAGATTTATATTATTTAATGTACTTTCACGAGGACTGCAGTGGCAGGAAGAGTTTCTTTCATACTTGTAGGGTGTGTATTCCTTGGGCTTCTGGAAGTGGGCATTTCATACTGGTGAAATGGAAACCAAGAGATCCCTCCCTCCCACTGCTGCCAGTCCTACTAACCTCCTCCCAGATAAACCCAGATAAACGGCCCCTACACCACCTAAGTGGGCAGTGCCCGAGCAGAAGAGACCAGGTGAGCTCACCTGATCACACTGGTTCGTGTGCCTGACGAGGAACCTCAGGAAGTCGAACCGGGAGCACTTCCGGATGAGGATGAGGTCAGAAGACCCGTCTCCTAGGTGGGCAGCTGGGGACAGGCCCCCAGGGCTCCGGGGACACGCACAGGACATGTTTGCGGCATTGATAGCCAGAAACTTCCCGCAGACGACCTGCCACTCCTCCACCTCTGAAGCAGAGGGAAAGCGAAGTGGATGCTGCAGCTGGGCGTCCCCTCCCTGGGTCTGCACAGCCTCTTAAGCCTTCTCTGGACCCACACTCAGCCAGCTTCCCACACGGGTGCTCTCAGCAGCAGGAGGAATCTGCCCTGGAGCTGCCCCCACCCGAGGGCCCAGCTGTGCTCATGGCTCCTCCCAGGGGACAGCGACTCAGGACCAGGGCCAGTAACCATCCGTCTACGGCAGCCGTGAGCCTGGGAAGGTTTCTACATTTTTAAGTAGTTGGAAAAGAAGCAAATGATAACATTTTGTGACATGTAAAAGCTGCACAGATTCAAGTTTCGTGTCCACACTAAAGTTTGGTGGGCAGGCAGCCAGCTGGGCCCGCTCGGCCGCATGCTGAAGGGACGGAGGCCCCAGCACAGGTGGGCACAACCCGGTGCTCCTCCGGTCCGGCCCAAACAGAGTCAGCTGACCCGATGGTCCACATCGGAGCCTCAAAACAGGAGCCAAGGGCCACGGGCTGCGCGGCTCTGCAGAAATGTCTGCGTTTCCCAGAGTTGCTAAGTGGCGATGACCTGCTGCTGCCCAGAGCTGGAGTGAAAACGGACTCAGTGCAACAGAGAAAGTGAAAGCAGACGTGGGCGGCGAGAAGCAACGCACAGGAGGATCACACGCGTGGCCCCGGGCTTGCAAGGGAACGCGTTTCACGGGAATTACCGGTGTTTTCCAAGCCATACAGCGCCTTCTTCTGCTCCTCCTCCAGCTGGCGCTTGCTCTGCCTGCACACAAAGCACCTGGAAAACAAGAACCCTGTCATCTTTTCTCTGATGAGTGGTTTGGCGATGCAGTGCCAGTGCTCGGCCTATGTAAAATTATTTTTCATGAAATAGTTCAGTTCCAGAGGCCTAGGTAAAATATTTCTTTGGTACACACGTTCAAATTTCCACAGAGGCCTATTTTTAAAATTGCACCCATGAATCCCCAGGTCCTTCTCTGAAGTTTATAAACACTGTGTGTGTCACGTGAGGCCACCTGTGTACCCAGAGATGGGTGGTGAGCGCTCACATCCTCCTGGCCCACAGGACTGCAAGGCGTGCCTGTTCCCCAAACTGACGAGCAAAGGCCCCACTCAGGGCACTCAGAACCCAGTCACAAGCCTAGCGAGGGCGTCCAGGGTGCATCCTGCCAAAGTCACACCCTGCTGGGCAGGACCAGCCGTGACACTAACAAAATCAGCTCTTAGACAACCGGGCGTCCAGATCAATGACTGAATATTCCGATGTATGGTCTCACACCTGCACTTAAGGAAGGTCGGAGGACGCGGGACAGAATGGGCAAGGGGCTCTGTGGGGCTGGGAGCGGCGGACAGGGTCTCTGCCGGGACGAGGACAGGCTCCGCTCACATCTGCTATAGCACATGCGCCCCCGCCTTCCCGGCCCCTACACACGCACAGCTGCAGACACAGCATCCATCTCACACCCTTTCTCCCATGCCCTTCCGTCCAGCCCAACAAGAGCCGGCGACGTGGATGTCAGCCTCACTCCAGCACTGACATGGGTCCCGGCCCTGCAGCGGAAGCCACTCCACCACAGAGGCCTCATGGGGTCAGGGACATGGTGGTCATGCACGTTGCCAGGCTGGAGGGCGAGGACACTCGCCTCACAGTGTGTGTGATTCCCACGCCCTGTACACCCTGCAGAAGCGCAGCGTCTGCACCTGTCCACATAGGAGCAAAGCCCCAATCAGTCCTGCCCTGTGTCCTCTCCTATGTCCCAGCCCACACTCCACCACCTCCAACAGAAACACTGGAGAAGTGACTCACCCCGCCCGGCAGGGCTTCCTGTCCCGCGGGGAACCCACGGTGTGCTGCGCTGGCAGGAAGGACACTGTCCCCTCGTAGTAGTGATGGGACAGGAAGGTCTTGACACCTGGGACAGAGTGAGCCAGAAGGGAACACACAGGGTCACTGTGGGCCACAAATGATGGTCATTCTGGGGGCTGACATCACGGAGGATGCAGGGAGCCTTGGCCTGAGAGGAGAGAGGGGCAGGGCCCTTTCTGCGGCGATGTCACTGCTGCCACCAGATGGGAGCTGCAGGATTCTCGCCATGACATGTGGTCTCCGGGCCAGCTCCTCTCGGACTCAGCAGTGATGGCGTGGCCAGGGCCTTGGCCACCCACCAGGTCTGCCTTCCTGCTGTCAGGAACTGGGGGGTCTGCCCCAGGCATGGGTTCCAACGCTCCTCGCTCCTGGGGACACTGATGGACGCCAAGTCTGAGAGCCGCAAACCTGTAGGACAGCTCAAGTTGTCCAGCCATGTTGTGGTTTTCTCAGCTGTGCAATGGGGACAGAACCCTGCACAGCACACGTGAGCCAGGGAGAATCAGATCTGTGGCCTTCAGAGAGTAGGGCACGGCACCCAGGAACATTGCAGGCTCCGTGCACCCTGAAAGCCAGGCTCACCGAGGGCCACTGAGCCAGCGACAGACAGTGAGCCCGGCCCACAGCAGAGCAGAGCTACCGGATGGAACGCAGGATTCTCGGGCCTGAAGAGCAGCTCTGGGTGGACACCCAGGGTCAATTTCTTGCCACCCTGGCTATGAGGTCAGAGTGGTCAGGAACTGATTTTCCCACTGGAACTCCTTCTTTAGCAGCCCTGGAGGCCTCGCTGCCATCTTCCTAGCAGACAAGCAGCAGCACCCAACTTCGCAGGGCCCGTCCACTTCTGAGTCAGGGGCACCCTCTGGATGCCCCTTGGAGGGCTCTTCCAAGTTACCTGGGTTTGGGTCCTCAGAACGGGATTCGGCGACAGCACCACGGCCCACGTAGGAAAGCAGGGTAGGAAGTAGGGGCGTCGCGGACAAACGGTCAGCGCCATCCCGACTCACCTGCAAAGTCATACCTGGCCAGTCCCATCCACCGCTTCTTCTCGCTGTCCTTGATTAGGTCCCCATAGAAGCCATAGCCCAGCAGGGACACTGAGTACCGCAGCAGCGCGCCATTGTGGTGCACAGAGGACACGTCCATGGCCAGTGAGTCCCCTGCAGGACAGCACACAGTGAGGGCGGCCTGCCAGGAGTGCCACCAAAACAGATCCCGCCCCCAGCCCCACCCTGCCCTCCCTGATTCAAAGTCAAATGACAAAACATGACTCAAACTTCTAAAACATCCTTGGAAAGCTGTTCCTGGGGACAGGTCAAGAATGTACCCCTGAGGCAGTAATGTCACTACTCAAGGGAGGAGGGCCAAATGAAGGAGAGGAGCACAGCATTTAAAAATACAAACTGCTGCAGAGCACAGCGGCATACTCCTGTAGTCTCAGCACTTGGGAGGCTGAGGCAGGAAGATCGCTGAGTCTGAGGCCAGCCTGAATTCCACAGAAGACCTTGTCTTAGACAAGCAAACAAACAAACAAATACAAACCCCTACATGGCCACTTTTAAACAACATTTCTGCAATGCCAGGTTAAGACATGGTCCACTGTAAAGAGGGATGAGGCTAGAGGCGGGCACCAGCCAGGCGCCCAAGGGACTTCAGAACTTCCGGGCCCCTCCCACTACCCCCTTGGGCGTCTGTCGCCTAAAGGAGAGAATCACACTGCAGCCTGACGGGCGCTTGCCAGAAAAGAGGCCAATGTCAGCCAGCTGTGGTGCAAGCCTGTCCTACAGCCACGGCCCCTGCTCAGAGGCCACGGGCTGCTTCCTGCCCTGGGGAAGCAGGCATCCGGCAGAGCCGCTTGGCACATTTGGAAAGAGTCAAGGTGATGCCAAGGGACAGAGTCTTCGGGGAAAAGAACAGCACAGGGGCCTCGCGCGTCCGGCGACCTCCCTGGGCTGCCGTGACGCGGGTGGCTGGGGTCTGCAGGTGGCTCGCACAATGACAGGCTCACCGATGATGATGTGCAGAGCTGACGTCTCCGCGTCACTCGCGCCCACGGTGGAATAGCACACGCAGTCTGTTGACCCTGTGAAGGGAAGGAAGGACCTCGGTGTCACTGAATAGCTTAAAACTGGAACGGGCTCCCAAGTAAGTGTGCTTGCCTTCCGTGGCCCTGGAGTGAGTAACAAGGAAAAAAAAGTCTCCTGTGGGGGTGCACACCGTCAACCCCAGCACTCTGGGAGGCTGAAGCAGGAGGATCACAAATTACAGCCCAGCCTGGGCAACATAGGGACTTAGGGGGACCCTGTCTCAAAATAAAAAAAGGCCTGGGGATGTCGTCAAGTGCAAAATCCCTGGGATCAATCCCCAGAACCTCCTATACACATACACAAAAGGAATAAGCAATTCACCTACAAAATGTTGGAAATATGCATTGACCTTGCAGAGGTGCCCAGCAGGTCCACACACAGTGCTCACAGAGCAGCCCCGCACAACTCAGGCTGCAGCCCCCATGCAGCCAACCCCGAGAAACACCTGCAGGGTGGGCACCACTTCCCCCCTGCTCAGCCTGGCCAGGTCTGCCACCCTTGCCACGTCACAGGCCCGGCAACTGCACCTGACTACCCAGAGCTTCAGAGCAGGGGTGAGGCCCTGGGCTCAATCCCCAGTAGAAAAAAAAGGCCACGTGAACAGCAGCCTTTCCTCCAGACCCTGCCAGTACAGCTCTGTGAATGTAGAACTGGAAAGTGACTTCGAATTGATTTTTTTCACTCCTGGGGATGGAACCCAGGGCCTCCTCACAAATTCTAGGTAAGCACTGTCCACTGAGCTACACCCCAGCCCTAGCTTGGGATTTGGATAGTTAGATCAGGTCTCTCAGCACAGCCAGAGTCACGCCTTTAAATCTCTGTCCTCGGGCAGCCCAGCCACCCAGGAACCTGTCTGCTCCTGAATTCTAGACACTCACTGTCAGCGGCACGCTCCGAGCTGCCGCTGTCCTTCCGTCACGACCTCTGTTCCCTACCCCAAGGCTCAGATCACAGGGCCACCTCAGTGCCTCCCACACCTTCACTCCCTACTCCAAGCCACTGGCAAGTCCTCCAGAGCCACACACCGCAGACACTGTGTCCCACCCAGCGTCCGGGCCCCTGGATTCTCTTGGGGCTGGACCAACACTTCCTTCCTGCTCCCAGAACCTAATGCAGAAGGGTGTGATAGCTGTCAGATGTCACCCTCCCCACTGAGACAGTCCCACTGCACGGCAGGGTCTCATAGGGGTCCTTCCCTGGGGGGACCCCTGTCCCAATGCCCCACACACACTGCTGCCCTGATCCTGGGCACCAAAGCCTCTTCTCTCCTGTTACCCTCTGCTCCAGCTGTCCCAGCCTAGGCCCTCCGACCACGTGCCTGCCTCAGCCTCCTGATGATGGTGAAACAGTGTGTCCCTTCTATTCCCATAGGTGTGGAGTCTGCTCTCGGCTTTAGTACCTCAGGGTTTTGTGTTTTGGCACTGCTATTTGCAAATACTGATGAAGGGCAAATTTCTTGCAAACAAGCTAAGAGCCATAAAAGATTAGAATACAGAAAAATTAAATTCATGTCTTCCAGAACACACCACATGCAATGTTAACAGATAAAAACCTAATCTGATCTTTTGGGTATGGTGGTACAGCCCTCTGTCCCTCAGGAGGCTGAGACAGGAGGATCACTGTAAGTTTGAAGCCAGCCTCGGCTACATAGTGAGTTCAAGGTCAGCCTCGACTAGGTAGTGAGACCCTGTCTCCAAAAAAAAAAACAAAAACCTAACTTGGAAGAGAGTTGTAAAACATAACCCACTAACAGGGTGAGAGATGTCCAAATAGTCCCAGGGTCAAACAGAAAGAGGCAGCGTGCTTGCTGTGAGAGACTGGGCAGAGCAGGCAGGTGGAAATTTACAGAAGCCGGATACAAATAAGCAAGCTGTAAGGGCAGCTCGGGCTCCGGGAAGGGAGAGAAACATAAAGATGGTCAGTGAGACAGCACGGGACGCAGTGGGGCCATTCCCACACCCCATGGATGGCTGGGTGGGTGTGGTGACCACGGGGCAAGCAGGTGGACACTGAGACCCCACATCGAGGGGGTCCACATGGAAGACATCACGGGCCTGGAGCCTCCGGGCCACATGGGCACAGGTGCTAAGCTTCAGTGAGCACGGGCACCACGGAAAGTGAGACGAAGGCGGGTGAGTCCAGGTGCACAGGGCCACGGGGCCACAGCGTCTGGGTCACCTGAAGGGATCAGAGCGTCCTCCGGACCAGCACTGCCCAGCAAGGAAGGCAGGTGTCTGCAGATACCGAGTGCACTCGGGCTCTGCCAATGGCGGGCCAGCCATGGGGTCCTCTGAGCCAGGGCTGTGGACAGACACCAGACGGGGCCCCACCCACACTCCCGCACCGGGCCAGCAGCCCTCAGACACTCCAGCTGCTCCTAAAGCTTTGTGTGGAGCGAACAGAGGCCCATGGAAGCCAGGGAAGCCAGAGGTTTAATGTAAGGGATCTGTCTTACCAGGGAACTGAGTGCTTTTCCTCTACAACCTGAGCGCGGGGGCCACCCTCCAGGCTGTCCCCTCATTAGGCCAGTGACACGAGTTCCTAAGTAACCGCCTCATCAAAACTTTCCCCAAAGCTAAAGGGACCTTAGATTATGGCTCTTCGATATATAATTAAAACCATGATCTTCGTCAACTTTCAGCTTATAATTATTACAGATTCCCAGGCTATAACGCTAACAGATACCCTCTTAAAAATGAGGCTCTGTCCTAAGATCCCCCGTAAGACCACCACCCAAGGGAACAACTTGACCAGCGCCATGATTCACAGGCTCTGTCCCAGGTGGGGGCTTCGCAGACTGAATAAAGGGTGATGTCCCTGCCCAGAGGACTCAGGGTAAGAGGCCGGTGCAGCAGCAACGGCTGAGCATGACGCCCCTCCTGGGGGCTGGGCACTCCCTCCTCCTGCTCCTGTCCCCATCTGCCCACCCCGACCTCACCCCAGTGCCTCCTGTCCACACCACAGATGGGGGCAGTCACGACCCTGACCGTAAAGATTTCATCAGGCCAGGTCTGCGGGGAGGCTTTGCCGCAGGGTCTGAGCGATGAGCAAGGACCGTGGGAAATCTCGGGGGAGGCTCCTTTGCAGAGTCCCTACAGCAGCACACGGGCTGACACGGAACGGGTCCCAAAACCCAGGTACTTCCTACAAGGGTGATTACTGCACCAAGCCGAGGGGACACCCTCAGGACACAGCCCAGGCGCCCACGCAACCAGCAGGGTCCCCTCCTGCCCTTCCCTCTTCACTCCCACTCGACCCTGTGTGCTGCCCCAGGTCCAGTTCCTTCCGGTCGGCCACCCTGGAACAGCCACCTGCCCGGCCCGGGCACCAGGCACCTGCAGACTCTGGGCCTGCAGCCCCACGGCCCCCACCAGTGATGGTCACTTCTGTCCCGTCCACTGCCATGCTGGGGAGCAGGATGCAGTTCCTGACAAACACGCCGAAGCATTCACCTCATGAGTCACTGGACAGAGACAGAATCAGTTTCCATGCAGAAATGAAGCTGAAGAGGGAACCGAGGGGCCCGATTACAGGAAATGTGTCCTGGTTACCTGAGCTCAATGGCTGAGCGCGTGTCCTTGCTGAGGACAGAGAAAGCTGTGGGCTCCGTACCTGTGGGAATGATGCCGATCCTCAGGGGGCTGGGGACCAGTGCGGCCCGGGGCTGGTTCTGGTCCACGCCAGCGTTCCTCTGCGTCCTCCCTATGAGTCCGTGCAGCACCTCGCTGAACGTGCCATCGCCGCCGACACAGACGAGGCTGAGGGGAACACAGGCTCGTCAGGGCCGGGCGTCACCTCACACAGGGCAGCTGGGCCTCCTGGCTGCAGCAGGCCTCTGGGAGCACAGCGCTTGGAAAGACCGAGTGACAAGGCCGCCCGGACAGCTCCCACAAGCAGCAGGATTCACGCCACACACGGCTCTCCTATGGGGACTGAAGGACGTCAGCAGTTTCCAGACAGAGCCCTGGCATGTGACGCCCCTGGTCAGCACCATCAGAGCCCAACTCGGGCCGGAATGTGCCTCAGGGACAGGGCACTTGCCTACAATGCAAAGACTGATGTAGGCAAAACACAAAACTAAACCCCAGCTGAACAGACGCCAGACCTACGCTGCTGCGCTTTTGCCACTGCACCAAGCGTACCCAGGGGGACCCGCATGGGAGGAGGGGGCTCGGGGACCTTGCACCCAGCGTCCTCTCCCTGCCTGACCTGGCACAGTGCACAGCGAGGACAAGTGCTCAGAGTGGATCACCAACCAAGGGCACAGTGTGCAGGCCTCAGAAACTAGGAACCGGGGACCACGTCTACGGGAGCTACGGGTCATGAGGACCACCTGGGCGACGTGCAGAAAGGGAACCTGGCGGGGGAGGTGGGCGGGCTTCGGGGAGGGTGGCCCAGCGCTGGGCATGACCGTGAGGGTGGAGGGGTCACCCCCGTCACAGAGGGCAGGCAGAGGATGCTCTCAGGGCTCCCCAAGGGCACTTCCAGTGGAAGCAGGGGCTCAGCTTCCCCCGAGGAGGGCTGGGGCAGGGCTGCGGGCAGAAGACAGCACGAGCAGAGCACTCTGGGAGAGGCAGGGCAGCCCAGGGCCCCTGGACCTGTGGGACAGTGGTCAGCATGCCTGACTGCTCCCCAGCATTTCCCGAGCACAGGTACAGGGTCAGCCTCCAGGGCCGGGCCCGAAGCCCTGGACACCATGCTGCGCACACACCACCGAGGCCAGCTGTCTCCCGTCCCCCAGGCCCTGGCCTCCGGACCACTGGCCCCTTGTCCCCCTTGCCAAGGCACAGTGGCTGGGTGACCTGGCTCTCGCCAGTCACAACGAAGCTTGCAGGATGTTCTGACATGGGGAGAACTCTGTGGGGCAAGGAAGTCGCTGAGCTCTCTTGCAGACTGACAGGGAGAGTGGGAAAGGCCCCCATCGGCACACTGCAGGGCTGGGGGCCCCTGCATTCCCTTGCCAACCTCGGCACCCACCAGGGGCTGGAAGACCTTCAACAAGGTTCACGGAATGAATCACGATTTTTAAAAATTACTTTTCAGCTTATAATACGTCACTTACACGACTCAAGTTCCAAAAGAGATGAAACCATAAAGCTCACCAATTATGAGCTAATTGACTTCAGGGCAGTATTTAAATCCAGATGGAGAGTTTCTAAGCACAAAGAACATCTCAGAAAGACACAGACTGGGCCAGGCATTTAGTTCAGTGGCAACATGCCTGCCTTGCATGGGCAAGGTCCTAAGTTCGATCCCCAATACCAGGGGTAAAAAAAAAAAAAAAAAAAAAA